ATAAATAATCAGCCAAATAATAAACCCTACGGTAAACTAAGGCAAAGAAATATATCCAGTAAAATAGTATGCATAAAAGCCTGTGGAAAAATGGACAACAAACGCACACTTCTTGCATTATAATTGTAACCCTCCCCTAATATAATTGCAATTTCCGCTTGGCCATAAGAGACTAAGGCTAACTACCAACGGACTACAACCGTAAATTGCTGTAATCTATCACTAAAGTTTACCTACTAGTAAGCGTTTCCGTGTGAAATTGATCCATCATTTTGAAAGGATATTTATGCGGAGACCGAGCCTTGGAATAAAACAATTAACCGAAGCATAATAATGCGCAAAGATTATAATCACATAGAGCATACGACATATAATCTATAAAATAAGGGCCATTTACCTAGACGAAGTAGGGCTCGTAGGCATGTATTCAGGGAATACATGGTTCAATAACAACTGGTGATCATCATCGCTAGGAAAAGTTTGCATGTTATAAAATCTTTTGATTTATATAAAACAAAAGATAAAGTCGTCTAAGGATGAAATATTTAAGACATCATGTCAAGAGCAATAGACGCAAATAAGCTCTGGCATTGAGCGCATTTGTAAGTACCACACTGGCTTGCCATATTAATAAGACGTTTTTTATTACTGATAGTATATTAAAGTATTACGTTTTAAAATTGATAAAACTTATTGAAATGGTTTAATAGTCTTTAGTCATTAGGATACATCCCTCATGTCGCGGCCACTTCATCTTTTCCGCAGCGTGATTTTTCAGCCATGCAGGTTAGCTAGCTTCCGTTCGTCCTTAATTCTGCGAAAGCATCTTAAATAAACCATTTGTCAAATTACATTCATTCGCATTTCCCTTATTTTTCTGTTAGCTCAGCAGATTTTGGTCATCGCTTAGTTTCTGTGGGGCCGGCTTTGGCCTATTTGCTGCTCAATCTGTATTCATGGGCAGTGAAAAGTTCTACCACGAATGGCTTATGCCAGTTGTCCATATTCTTGTCCGAGATGCAGAATTGACCCATTTGCTTGGGGTGAAATTAACATCTTTTGGGATTGGGTATCGTAAATTTCCATCAGCGAGTGATGAGCGCCTTATTCAAGCTAAGCGAGATAAGCTTTCGAGGAAAGTTTTTGGACTCGATTTTGTCCATCCTGTGGGAATTGCTGCTGGGTTCGATAAAAATGGTGAAGCAATTCTAAACTTACTTGAGGCTGGGTTTTCTCATGTAGAGGTAGGCACTGTAACCCCAAAGCCTCAAGATGGAAATCCGAAACCTCGATTATTTCGGTTCAACACCAAAATGGCTCTTGTCAACAGGTGATTTATGAGATATGTGTTTATTTTATGCTAGGTTTGGCTTTAATAGTGAGGGCCATGATGCCGTATATGCTAGGCTAAAGGATAAGCCATGGAAAGGTGGGTACTTTAGCCAAATTGTATGGTCACAAAATTTTGAATGAACAATCTTTCCTTACGTATTTTTATCCTATATCTTATTCTCATTTATTTTGCTAGGGGTTGTTGCTATATGTATCTAACTGGCACTCATTTTATATTTTTACATCACTACTATTATGCCTTTCCACTCCACTCTTTTTTAATGGATAACTTTTCCTAGCTTAGTAATTCCTATTCACTCGAACAATCTTTGTGACATTCTGTATTAATATTAATATGTTTCATTTATTGCGCTTAATTTTCCATTTGCTTATCTATGGTCCTTACTCAATTATCACTTAGCCAATACAGGTTGATTGTATGCATCTAGCCTTTATTAATATGATACTTTGGAGCTC